TGGGCAACAGGCCTCAGGCTGGCAGTGAGAATGGCACTAGCAGTCGGACACCAAACTCACTGACAAAGCATTAGTTCTACGGCACTGAGGAGGTTAGATGTGACAGCTGCCATGGTTGGGGCTGGGGCCACCATCCTCGCACACCGTAATGAACCATGCATAGGGACAGGATGGAAATAAATCAGCAATCCACTCTGAGGAACATAAACATACTTGTAAGCATCTTATCAGAATTGTGTATCTGGGTCAGCCATAAGAGTATTTTGTTTTTCGGCATGATTATAGAAGCTGAATCTGATGGTAAAGTGATAACCAGTTTCCTAAGGCACTCTGCAGTTTATGAAGTCGTACCTGTCGTTGACTGGCAAGACTGATGGTGAGGTGTGTGTGATAAGAACCAGAGCTCTGGCGTCACTTAGCTCTGGGCTCCCATCCCAGCTCTGATCACTCCCAGCTGCAACACTGTGGGTCACCTCCAAGCCTTCATTTCCTCCTAGGCAAGGTAAGGTTCACCTCTCCAAGGGAGTTTATAGGGAGTAAGTGAAGGAACCTCTACAACAACCCATTGCAGGCCATATAGCAGCTCCTCAGTGAATGGATGCCAAAGGGTATAGTTGGGGCTATTTTGAAGCAAAGATACATCTCAGCATACTTGAGGTATCAAATGGTAGGATGACCAAAAACGCAATAATCCCAAGTGAGCTAGACTGCAATGAATATTTAAATGGAGGTAGACTAAAAACTTGAGATGTGAAGGCATGTCAACTTGGAGACTATTCACTGGGATGGAAGAGGACAAAAGCCATAAATAAATAAATTCCAGGTGTTTCCATTAGGAAGCATCTAAGGTGCATTCTCTTTTATATGGAAGGTCTCTGGGCTGCCATGAACTAAGAAGAACAAAAGAAAACAGCAGATCAGATTTAATAGATAGCACTCAAGTTGTCCTGAAGTAAGGGGCTAAGACAGAGAGGAGAGTATTCATCCTGTAACGACCTTGTGGCATTCACAGATTTGACCTGTGTGGTTCTCTCTTGATGGGATTGTTTTGTAAGTTTATTACCTAGATTGATGTCTGGTTTTCTTAGGAGTAAATGATACTTATGGATCATGTGAGGTGAATGGACAAGAGGGAGCAGGTGTTTAGAGTGGTAGGCGGGGCTAAGCAAATGCCCGGCACACACACAGCTCAGCAGGGCTTTGGCTGGGTCCTCCTTAGTAGGTAGGAACACCATACACCCCAATAATGGCTAACATGGGGGCCCTGGTGAACGTCAGGTTTTCCAAAGTCACAGATACGTGTGCCTTCATAATGACAAAGGTGTACAGTAGAATAAATAAGAAATATGTTTATAGAACAGTAGCTTCTTTAAAAACAAACACCCGCTCAATCATATTCAATGATAGAATGCCTCATGTAGGTATAAATAATTGCTTTATAGCTATGATGATACAACGCAATTTGTCTGGGACAATCTCAGTTTAATCATCATATATTAACAACTGTCAAACATGCCCTGGATTGGATCATAAATTATGTGGTCAATGGCTAGCAAGATTGGGCTGCACAGTTCTAATTTAAAAAACAAAAAAACCTTCATACTTCAAAAAGCAAGCATGATGACCGTCTATTTAATGTCTTATAATGACTTATTTTAATTAAGGTGATTCAGTTTGGATGCCAAGATTTGATAGATACTAGCCATTAGAAATTGGGCCAGCTGCAATTCTTACTGTGAAACAACAGAGGTATTAATATGATGTTCAGTGATATCAACAACAATAGAAACCATAGTGTGACTCAGTATATTGGCTGGCACTCACGGGCTATGAAATTTCACCTACATGAATCCACTGATACTTAACAATTTTTTAAAATTTTATTTATTTATTTATTTTGTGAGACAGAGTCTCGCTGTGTTGCCCTGGCTAGAGTGAGTGCCGTGGCGTCAGCCTAGCTCACAACAACCTCAAACTCCTGGGCTCAAGCGATCCTCCTGCCTCAGCCTCCCGAGTAGCTGGGACTACAGGCATGTGCCGCCATGCCCAGCTAATTTTTTCTATATATTTTTAGTTGTCCAGATAATTTCTTTCTATTTTTTTTTACTAGAGATGGGATCTCGCTCTTGCTCAGGCTGGTCTCAAACTCCTGAGCCCAAACAATCCGCCCGCCTAGGCCTCCCAGAGTGCTGGGATTATAGGCATGAGCCACCGCGCCCGGCCTAAAATTTTATTTTTAATTGACAAATAATTGTGTATATTATATACTTATGGGGTACATACAGTGTGATGTTTTGAACCATGGAAGCCTTATACTGTACAAATGGCTTGTCAAAGAGAAAATGTCACCTCCTTCTACAGCTAAGGAAAACAGGCTGAGGAAGAGTTAGCTGACTGTCTCAATGCCACACCACAAACACAGAGGTAGAGGGAAGATCCCATGTAATGTCCGTCTCATTCTACAATCTATATTCTTCCCAATGCCAGCACTGCGGTTCCATTTTTAGCATATGTCATCTTTTTTAACCCTCTCTTTGGGTAAGAAAACAGCATTTGCTACTCCACTAAAAAAAAAAAAATCTGAAACAATATTTTTTCTATTCCTTACGTAGGAAAATAGCATTCATGCATTTATTACTTTTATTGGAAGAAAAAAACCTCAAGGAATATTCCAACTTTTCCCTGAAAAAACTATCTATTCATATAAAAAGCACTCACTGAAATCCTCACTGCAGTGCATGCTGCGTGATTTTATTTAACCAACTTTTTAAATATCTGGCTGTCAAAGGTTTAAAAATATTTTTTCAAGACCAATAATAGTAGTTTCCCACAAGTAAAAAGTAAATGCTGCGTGACCTTTCTGAAGAGGACAACAGTAAATGCAAGATCCATGACGAAGACCAAGGAAGTCACATTTTAAAGTCTCAGTCGCCACCGTGTATAATCTGCAAAGCTGGCACCTTTCACTCCATCACATAAAGGGGGTCTGTGGTGCTTTGCTGGTCCACAGTGGCTCCTTGGTGGAATGTAAATAGGCCGGCATAGAGATGCTAAATAGCTGCTTTTATTTCCTCTCCAGCACTTTCACAGTTCTGTTATCTTATCATGATTTTTTTTTAACTCTTCAAAGCAAAAGGTAGACTTAACATTTTGGATTTTTTTCCCCCTCTTTTCTTAAAATATATATGCATGCAATTCCCCCACTACTTTGAGAGATCTGCACTCGATTCAGGAAGGGGCAAAACTGATGAGATAACACAGTGTACAGTTGCTTGATACAATTTGGCTGCTTTAGAGGGAAAAGGAAATCAATTTCTTTTGGAACACAGTCTTATCCATAACATCAGCCCATCCTGCATGCAACAGAACGTTTTGTGACTCCACAAGAGCGAGGACATGCTCAATGCCCACTAATGCCTTCAGAAGAGGGTGCCCAAAGCTTTGCCCCACGTGGCCACACTGCGTGCAGCCCACACACTGCTCCCTTGGAAGAGGCCCCCATGCAGGGCCCGCACAGGGAGTTTCCTCCTTCCACCTCTTTGGTAGAATGGACCTTTTGTAAAACATCAAGAAACACAATTTCCTGTTTCCAGTGGGGGTAGCCAAAGCAACTAGCCAGAAAAACATTCAGAGAAACACGCAACCAACTCTCTGCAAAAGTGCATGAAAATTATTCCACAAAATCTGGCATATAGAAAACTATGAAAAAAGAAAATGACATAAAACCATGAAATAATAAGATTCATGACACTAAGCGTTTTTTGTTGTTCTTGTTGTCGTTTTTGTTTGTTTTCTGTAATGCAAAAACCAGCCTGGAATGCTGAGTACTTTAAGGCTCCCAAAAGGCAACTTTAAGAGCACCTGTAGGTGATTTGCATGTCTAAGCTAGAAATGCATTTCTCAACTGCACCACTTCCTGAGGTCTCTTATAGGTTAATGTTTCCACATAGGAATGAAAAAGAAACACTCAGAACGAAATTAAAACATCTCATTGAAAAATAAAATAGTCTTGGCGATATTTACCTATTTGAAGAAAGCATCTTCAGCCATATTTCTCGTTGGATAAAGCTCCATGAGTCCATTTCAGTTTGTATCTTGCGTTGTACCGTGACCACGCTGCAAGCAACACGCACATCTCTCTCATGGCTACCTTGCTAAACACTTCATTTTCTGCACCCTTTTAATGTATTTTTGCCTTGAAAACAAATGTGTTCACACAGAGTCTAGGAGCATTATGAATGAACTGTGCAACAGCAGGCAAAGCTAGCTAGGAAGGTAAATCTTGAAATCTTACCCCCAAAATGTCTAATTTTCCAACCCACACTCAGAGGAAAAGGAATAACAGACCTAAACAATGTGGAGCTAAGCTTGAATGCCCCGTACTTAGCCCATGCCTTTTAATCATAAATAATAAAATGCAACAAAAATCAAACAAGTATTGTTCCCTTGTATGCAGATTCAATAGAACCAACAACAAAGCAGATCTCCGAGGCCCCCATGGGCACAGAATCAGGAAGTTGGATAAAATATTTTCCTGCACGCAATATACTGATTCATACAACGGTACAATCAGCAAAGAAAGCTAATATCCATGGTGGTTATCAACTATACTATTAACAAATATGTGTTCATTATACAGGTCTATAGATGAACACATATTCACTGAGCTCCAAGGAAGAAACATGCTTTAAATAAAATTTCATTTTATCCTGATCTTCGCAACTGCATTGGTTTGAGGAGGAATTCAGGTCCCAAGAAAATGAAATTATTGTATTAACAACTGCAAGCTAAAAAGTAAATAAAGAAAAACACAAAATAACAATGTTGCATGAACATAGTAAAAGGAAGGAATGTATCCAAGCACACAAAGTCAGCACTGCAAACCACAATTATCCAGGAATTGGAGTAACACGCCTGAAATCCATGAGCCCTGTGAAAATAAAAAGCAGACCTTCCTCATGGCCTCCTGCTCCGGCATTTCTCATGAGAAAATCACTTACCTAAGATACCCAGACGGTAGTTAATGGTGATCACGATGACGTTCCCATAGCTCGCCAAAATGCTCCCGTCAATCATGTTGCCTGTGCCTTCCATGTAAGATCCACCATGGATATAGACCATCACTGGCTTCTTGCTGTTCTGATCATGGATATCTGGAAAAAAAGCCAAGTAAGGAAACACAATAAAAAAAAAAAAAAATCACGCTTACTCACTGATGCTAAAGAAAGAGCCAGGGAGGTTCCTTAATTTTCCTAGTTTTGACTTGAATTAATCACATTGATTTTTGTGCCTGGTATAGCCTTCATAAGGGTGCCTAAGGGAAACGGCCAATGCTATTATATTTTCTATTCATAGAAATGATATTTTGGGAAGCATACGGACATTTGGAGTCATGTGCTCGTATAAGCATCTGTGTGTAACTAAAGCGCTAATAGAAAAGGTTTAAAATAAAGTGCGTATTCCCTAAATTTCCCTCAAGCCCTAAAGTGTGATTTAAATGGAAGAAGCACATGGCATCCTTGATAAAATGTATTTTATCATCTGATTCAATGTAAGACCAACTTCAAAATTATAATTAGCTTTAATATCACTGCCACATTAATTCGCAGGTGAATGTACGGATTCATCTTTAATTTGACAAAAAAAAAAATCAAAGAAGTAGTGAAATTATAAACTGTCAGTACAGAACAGATGATAACAAAAAATAAATAAATGGTTAAAAATTATTAATGGAACAGAAATGGGGAAAAATAGACGCCCAGGCAAGTGTCTTTGCTCTGTTGATTACAGTAATAAAACCCATTTTTTTTTTTTTTTTTAGACAGAGTCTCACTCTTTTGCCCAGGCTAGAGTGCCGTGGCATCATCCCAGCTCACAGCAACCTCAAACTCCTGGGCTCGAGCGATCCTACTGCCTCAGCCTCCCGAGTAGCTGGGACTACAGGCATGCGCCACCATGCCCGGCTAATTTTTTTCTATATATTTTTAGTTGTCCGATTAATTTCTTTCTATTTTTAGTAGAGACGGGGTCTCGCTCTAGCTCAGGCTGGTTTCAAACTCTTGAGCTCAAACAATCCGCCCGCCTCGGCCTCCCAGAGTGCTAGGATTAGAGGCGTGAGCCACCACGCCCGGCCCAAAACCCATATATTGAAGTAACAAAAATGAAAGAGATGTAATAAAAAATGGCAAAAGAATCCAAACTCAAGATGAAATTATTTAAATACTTTATATTTTCACAGGGGACATAAACTGCCACTGTGATTTGCAACCAATGAGTACTCTTAGTAATTACTTTGTTATTTTCATTAGCAATGATGTTAAAACAATGATCTATGATGATAGAGATTTGGAGACTGTACAGCCTGCTTTCTGAAAAATTATGATTAAATAACCCGTTTAATATTAATCAGCCTACGTGTGTGTGTGTTGCATGTGTGTATAAATCATTTAAAAATCTGTATGTTATTTAAAAAACGTGCACCTATGTACATTTATTTTCATTTTTTTCTTCAATAAAGTTTTATTCTTTCCTCATTCATGGGGACACTTTTGAGTCATCAGAAAGGAATGTCGAGGAAATGAACTACCATCCTATGGACGATGGCTCCGACTAGAATGAATTATGATCACAATTTTACTTGGTGTGTACAGAAGACATGAGAAAATCTCTGGTCACAATGAAGTACAGAAACAAAGTGTCACGTTTCCCAAGTATTTGCAGATATTTAATCCAGGTCAGAAGAGTGTCTTTTATTTTCTCATATAAAATTTAAATGTAAAGTAAAAATCCTCTATTAAGCATTTATTCATCATGCATTACATGCAATTTTCCTGTGATGCACTGTCTCTTTCTTTTCCCGATTTGCTATTTTTGCTGTCATTTATTTTACCATTATTGGCTGCTGGCTACTAAATTGTGGGAAAAAGGAATAAGTAGAGATTTTGAAGGGCTGCTCTACGATGTTCTCGTGGAATATATGTTACATGAATGTCTCTTACCTTTCATGAAACATGGAACTACTTTCTCTTGAATTTGCCTAAGTAATAACCGGATGCTGTATTAATTTGAAGTTTAAAAAAATCACACTTTATTAGATTTAGTGAAAATTCGATGGCATCCTAAAGGTAATAAAGTTTCAAGGTGAGCATCATGAAAACAGATCCCAATGATCGAATGGAAATATCTGAAAAAGAGAGATCTGGGTATGATTCAGATTATAGCGCTAGAACAGATGAGAGTACTAAGGGAAGAAACACTTATTTTATTTTAATTTATTTTTGGACACCGAACAAAAAAATGTCAGATGTTCCTAAGCCCTCCTCAAAGTCTACCTGAGGCAGGTGTAGATTTTGATATTTGAATACCATTGGGAGAGATCTCTTCTGGACAGCTATTTGAGGCAATGACAGCCCTATGAACTTCGAGCTCCATAAAAAAAATAAATAAATAATAGTAATAATAGTAATAATGTTAACAGAAGACCAGGGTTGACCGCAATGTTGTCCAGCCTTCTTTTCTTGGAGAGCAGTTTATTCATGAAAGAAAGCAAAAAGGGCAAAAACAACATGCAATTGGTAAAAAGGCCCTTTGGAGGAAGTTGAGCTTGGCCAGCAAGGATAACTCACCACTCCCTTTCGGCCAGAGACCCGGAGCTTCATCAGGGGCCTTATCCCTTATGGAAAATAAATGGACTTCCATGCATTTTGCTACGCAGGTGGGAAAAATGTGCTTTTATCCATGCTACAGAGCCTTCTCAACAAGTAAAGGCTTATTTTGGTACTATTTATTGGTTTGTTTCTCTTGATTTTTAAAGCGTTTATTCTACGGAAGGGGCAGAATACAGTGTGCTAGTTAGTTGTCTGCTTGAGTGCTTCTCCCCTCCATCTTTAAAAAAAAAACAAAACACATTTCACTTCTGGTGGATAATCTATTGAGCAATTTGGGAGCCTTACAGGGAAACTTTTCATAGCAACAAAACATTTTGGGGAGAAAAACGTGTTTTCAAAACAGCCCTGGTGTGAAAAGAAAGATGCACATAGCTAGCTTTCTGTCCTTTTTCAAATTCTGAAATACCTTTTTTTTCTTTACATGCTGCTAAAAGGCTGTCCTGAAAGAAACATCTCGTTAAAATCTCATTAAAACACTTTTTTATGTACTTCACTGTGAGCAGCTTCTTAGAAACCTATTTTGGAATCCATATGTTTGAAAAGAAAAAAAACAAAACAAAAACAAAACTGAAATTCCAGCCCTCCCACCCCCAAAAGTTCTACTGAGGTGTGGCAGAGTTTTGCAGTTTATAAAAAGAATTAATAAGAAGCAAAGCTCCAAAAATGTAATCTTAACTTACAAAATAACATCTGGAAAGAAGAAAAGAAAGTATACATGCATGTTTTAAAATTCCATCTTCTCTTCTTGTGACCAAGACAAAAAAATGAAAAGAAAAAAGGAAAAAAAAAAAAAAGGTGGGCTTCCTTGTAAATAGCATTTTTGTTAGTCATTTCAGGTCTAGAAACAATCTTTATACTTCTTCTGACAGTGATTTGCAGTCCTTTACATGGAAACTGGGATTAAAAATGACAGTGGTTTTCATACAAGAAGAAAATAAAGAAGCACACAGAAGTGCACTAGTTTTAAATAAGGGGAAGAAAAACAGATTGAAATTAAAAAAATAGAGAGATAGATAGGTATAAACTCATGCATCAGGGTTGAGCATTGAAAAAACAAAAAATACCTTCATCTTCACCACGGTCATTACTGGTTATATCATCTGCGTTTTTCTTTGTGTTGCCTCCTGGGGTCATATCGAGAAGGAAAATAAAGGGAAAAAAGAGAATTCAAAAACAACAGGTTTGCAAAAATTCAGAAAAGAGAGAGATGCTACCCAGTAAAAGAAAAAAAAAAAAAAAGAATGTAACAAAAAAAGTTGAAACCTGTTACATTTAGATTTCAAAAAATGAAATAGGGCGATACAAAATGCATATAAACATAAAGATGTCAAGAAGAACAAATCCAAAATGTTAATTGCAAAAAAGATTAGATATCTTGTGAAAATGTGCTTTGGGGGTTAAAATGATACTACTGCAAAAAAAAAAGCTAACGTGAGTTGTTTTAAAAAAAAGAAAAAATTAAATTATTAGAAAAGAGATTTCCCACATTCTTAAAAGAAATGAAGTATTTAATGGTCCTCTGATTTTAACATGTTACAATCTAAATAAAGTTTGAAATGTCACTGATACACTATGGTTAGGAAATTTCATAATGAGAGCAGAAATACACTTAAACAATAAACATGGCAGGACTTTAATCAAAACATCATAAAACCAACATTAGTTTCATGTATTGAAAACTTAAAAACACATAATTCGCGAAAGAATCAGAAATGTCACTAATTTAAATCACTAGGATTCACCTCTACTCAGTGGTTGGAAAACCACTATCCGTTATTCTCTTATGTTCTCTAGTATTTAAAAAAAACTATTTGCAATAAGTATTTCTTAAATCAAGACAAAACATTCTAAATTGTGTTCTGTGTGTTTGCAATACTCAATATCATTTGAAAGTTATCATTACCTGAATTTGTAGAAATGTAAAATAAAGATTGAAGTCACCTACCTTGATCACCTCAAGTAAGATCAGCATGGGAATTTCAATATAAGCAAAAATGCAGAGGGGTCCTTAACCATTGCAAAAACCTCTCTCATGCCCTGTGTACCCATTGCACCATTTCGGTTTTTATATTTTCCAGATATAAGAGGCTAAAATATTCAATTTGGCTTGAATTATCTAGTTAATCGGCTCAACGCCCTCCTTTTTATTGGCAGATGCAGCCCATGGGTTGCATATCCAACGACAAATAACCTGAATTGAAGTCAATCAATCAAAAAGATCTTTGCTTTTCCATAGGGTGCCTTGATGAGTGAATTAAGGTAGAGACAAAATACCGTCATGGGAAACTCTTGTGAATGAAAAGCATGCTGCAGATCTACACGACTCCGAAGAGCTTCAACGTGTTTTGAAACAAAGGCTTGATACTGCTGTTTTCATATGTCAAACAAAGGTTAAATATTATCCATTCCCTGTGGTTCAACACCCTATAAAAATCAGACCTGGGTAAGCTGGTGGGTGAGAAAATTGATTTGTAGTGTTTGTTGAT